CCGTGCTAACACCAAATGCAGTGGAGCCTTGAAGACACAACCAACCTCTATAATTAGTCTGGGCCCAGGCTCCGCATTGGCGGAAAAGGAGAGAAAAATTGGTTTTGGCAAAAAAAATAAATAAATAAAAATCGGCGAGTGAAGCGAGCCAAGTGCTAGTCCTCCCCACCACTAAGCTTGCTTCGCTCACTGCTATTTTTCCTATTTCACCTCTTTTTTCTGCCTTTTTCCCCCATTACAGAGCATGCATGGTCCCAGGTCACCAACCTCAATATACTTTACAAAGTTCTCCAAAGTTATGAACACAATTAATGACACTTTTACCAATCTATTTTAATTTGCTACGCACCTGCTAGATAAAAAAATTAGGACCAAAAAAGTGAATGTTATCTACACTATGTCTTCTTTTTAATAGAACTGGATTTGTTGAAGGATTGTCTGTAGATGCAAATTTTCATCCTCAACCTCATTCAATGTCAGATTACAATGTGCTTCCAGTATTTTAAACATAACTTTTCTTTTTTATAATTATTTTGTGCCATTGAATTGTAAATAACTTTAATTTATATAAATATTGTAATCACAACAATATTAGTACTTTTTACAGTGTAATTGTATTTGAAATATTAACATCATAAATGTAGTTATAAAAAGATGGTAAACCTCAAGTGAATCAACTAACCAAACAGAGGGTGCTGTGAGTCAAATCACTGAACCAGCTCCAAAGAATCCTTTTAATAACAGTTAAGGCTGCAGCATCAGGTGATGGCTTGTTAGCCATCCATGACAGGTATGCATTCCAAAATATTGCTACAATTTGGACAAAGCCAACACAGTGCTGAATAGGAACAAACGTAAAATTCAGAGTCTGTGCAAGAGGCCAGATCTTATAATTTGTGATCAGTGTCTGTACGTAGCGTTCCTGGAGCATCTCTTTAATTTCATCTGGTCGTTTTCCAGCAAGTGTCTCTGACACACTGAAAAAGAAACATATCATAACAGGAGCAAAGAGACTCTGATCCAACAGCATCTTTTTAAAGCCGGCAGTTTTGGCAGACCCAGGGATAGTCCTTTCCAGTGTAAGATACCATGATCTTAGCACAGGGCCAATAACTAGTCCAACCACGCCCATACGAGCTGTTCTTCTGAAGTCATGATTTGTGCCTCTTCGCTCAGCAAATTGCTGGGTGATGACATCTCCAGCGGCCACAAGGACACCTAAGGAAAAAACAAGAAGTAATGAAGAGTTATACTGTCTTTGCAGCCCAGGGGAAAGCAATCCTGTATTTGGCCTTAATGGGTAACAGCACTGAACATGGTATGGGTTTGGGGGGTTGAGAGTCTTCAAACTGAGTACACAATTTTGCCATTAGCCTCTCAAACAGGATGCTGCCCTGAACAGGCTGTAAAATGTGGGAGATTTCAATCAGTGTACATGTACACGTGTGTGTGAGGGGGGATTCAATAGCCTAAATATGGGTTGGAGAGTCTCTTGTCTAAAATAGAGTAGTGAAATGGACGGTTTTAAGGCCTTATGGAGGCACACAGGGTATATAAATGAGGCAGCAAGTTAGATTGCTAGCAACAGCTTAATCAACCCAGTCAATTTGCCACTTCCTCTGTACTTTTATACTTTACATAAACACATTAGATAATCACTCTTTTTCTTCCTTTCTTTTATTTTTAATTTACCCATGGTCTGAGTGTAACCCAGGGATGAGTATCAATTCTACCCTGGGACTGGGGGTTGGGAGGGGGGGCAGATAGGATCACTGATTTGGGGGGAATAGGGGGACTGTCCTCACATCTTTGTAGCTCACATCCAGGAGGTGTGAAGAAATTCCTTCCACTTTAACTTTTGTGAACTTGGATCGCACTCCCTCCCCCCTTGGTACATTCGCACCCTACATGAATGCGAGTTACAGTATTTATGGAATAATAGGGAACTGTGAAGTCTAATGGGAATTAACATCAGCAGGGTGCAAAGAAAGTCAGTTATACAGCTTTTCGTTTGGGCATTAGCCCAAAGGTCATTTCAGCTAGCCCCAAACACTTTTTGATGAGGTAACTGCAATGATTTCACAGTTCTTAGACTGTAATTTTAATCCCTCAAAAAACATCACTGTCCTGTACAGTGGGCAAGTTAAGAATGAAATCCACTAGCGCAATAGCAAAATCCACTAGTCCAGAGCTATTGGACACTACCTTCTTTTTGCAATAATATTATGATGCCTAGTTGTACCATAGCATGTTCATGGATAGCTTACATATACATCAGAACTTAGTCCCTTAACCCATAAAACAAATACTTGTACCTGTTTTAAAGAAGATAACCAAACAAAATTTCGACCATGGAGCGCTAACCGTAACAATTTTTATGATTGTAATTTTTGCAGGCACAAAGCCTGCTTTGAAACTTGAAAAGGGTGGCACAACCTTTTCAAGTTTTTACATCCATCCTTGCCATTCGTAGCTACAGACAATAGACCCTTGTCACCAAGCAGCCATTTTGTTCCAAGAGATTAAAAAAGCTTTGTATTTGCACAGCTAGCCTCATTCTCACTGCCAGCTAGGCTAACTGTGCAAAAACAAAGCTTTTTAAATCTCCTAGGACAAAATGACCGTTGTCTGACAAAGGTCGATAGGATATTGTTTCAATGCCAAATTTACATTTAATAGCTGTGCATAACAAAACTGGACCATTATTTTTGGAAGTAAGAAAATAGTGTGGCATAGCCCCTTTAATCTTTCTGTTGCGAGAATCTCACTAAGAACATACGGTACTATAATGAAAGTCTCTCGTAGAACATTGCTCTCAAATTATTTGTAGCAAAAATCTTACTATTTTTGATTACGAGCAAGTACAATACACAACAAAAGAGAAAGATACTTGTAGAGTATGATTAAACCACAGTAAATTATAAGAAGGATACTGTAAAACCTAAGAATGAAATATTAGTTAATTACTATAAAAGCGTTCATATTTACAAAAAAATGTAGATAAGCATGAAATTGTTAACACTTTTTTCTATTGCTTGTCAGTCAAGCCATCAAAATAAATAAAAATACCAAAACAGTAAGTTGCAAAGAAATTTCATTTTTGGAGTTGCCAGCCTGCACTTTTATCCTAGTTATTATCAATATTATACAAGTCAATCTTGATTTTACTAGGAGCAGAAAATGTAAAAAATATGGTGATATATTTCAAGTGATTTGGCCTGACAGATACAAAACCACACTAGCAGAGACAGTCTTTATTTTAAAATGAGACATCCTTCGTAATATTCAAAAAACATTCTATGTTAACTCTGACATGAAGTAACTTGCCACTGTAAATAAAATAATTTACATGTACAGTCAAGTTAGATTGTGTCAGCAATTATTGCTTAAATAAAATATTAATATAATTCACGTTTTGTCAGATGCAAAATGTTGGGTATCCATGATGGAAAGTTTACAAACATCGTAACAAAGATCGCTGGCTCTATCCACTGTTTGGGAAATATTTTCTGTGAACGTTACATGTATATAAGTCGAAATGGCAGTTCTTAGCTAACTTCACTGTAGCCAAATGACTGACCCTTGTTTGTGCTTTATAAATTTACGTCATCAGCATTTCTTGTATAAATCGGTCTAGGTGGAGCAATAGGTTTCCTTTCTTTATATCAGCTTGCAAAGAAAGTCGGTTTAATTCATGGCTTGCCATTTAGGCATGCAAGTTGTTGCTAGTATGTACTAGCCCAAGAGTCTTTTAAGTAGCCCCTCAAAAAATTTAATGAGCAGCATTGATTACAGTTCTTCACTGTAATTTGAATTTCCCAAAAAACTGCACTTGCCCTGCTGGCAAGTTAAGAACACAAATCACTAGCCCAATTGCAAAATCCACTAGCCCCGGGCTACCAGACACATCTTTCTTTGCATGCTGGTATATGTACATTTTCATCCTTCCTCAAGAAGCTCAAACTAATAATGGATGGAAAACATTTAGCCAAAGATTTGTTTAGTGCCAATGATGTGGATGCTTGTTCAAATGTTTGAGTTGCACTATAGGAAGATAAATGTATGTTTACTTGTATACAGTTCCTCAGTTAATGCCCACTGTTTAGGATGCAGTGACTTACAATAAAGTCCATAAAAACTAACAGCAAAATAAAAACAAAAGAAGGTTATGCATGAATGTCCAGGTGAGCGTAATCCAGAATAGGACTGTTATTGTTGACAGTCAATGGCAATTCGACAATCTGTATTCATCTTCAGAGTCACTCAGAAGATGAATACTGCACAGGTTGTTGAAACATCAGTCACTGTCAACATTCAGGACTACGTTCACCCAGACAATCATACTCAGCCCACTTATGAAATGACTCCTGGGTTCAAACCTTTCACAAAATAAGAGCAATAAGTAGACAATAGACGTATTTTACAATCTGGTGGCCTATTAAATATGTATTTCTTTTATTAGTATGATAATAACCATTTCTGACCTTGTCAATATTTTTGTGCAAAATACAAAAAAATTCTTACTTTGAAACGAGGTCAGAAAGTCTGAATTTATCACACATATAAAAAATATATATTAATAAGACCCCATTGTGAAAGAGGTATAAAGCTGGCCCATACATGTATACTAATCAGATGTGTCAGAGATATACATGCACACTCAGATGCAGAGGTACAAACTGCACACACGCATTTTTTGGACAGTTGTTTTGAGCTGCATGCACTGTACATATACATGTGTAGGTATCTAGTGCAACTGTGAAATTTGCATGAAGACAGTCTGTCGGCCAAGAGCATTATCCTCTGGATAATGTTGTTGTTGTTGTCACTCAAAAGTATAAACCATGAATGATGAGGCCTCAAGTATTATATATATGTGCAAAATTGACTTGGTTTCTCTTTACCTCAGTTTACTTTGATAGCAGAGTATCTTAAAAGGTTCAGTTGATCAAAAACAAGCTAAAACAAACAAAATTTGAAGACAAAACAGCAAAATCCACTCAGCTTTTTGCTTGTTCTTGATAATATCTGATGTATTCGGCTTCCACTCTGTTTAATTCTTGACGATCCTTACAATGTGCGCGTATTATTGGTGTGATTACTGGGTTGTCACTCTTGTATTGATATATTGCACTTGATTTGGTGGTCACATGTTCATTGAGCCGTTCTTGTAGATTTCTGATAGAGCTACCAATATACAATTTATTGTTGTGTTCGAATGTGATCTTGTAAATTTGACCATTGTGGTAATCATCATTAAAGTAGCTATTTACTGTCACGTAATGCGGCGGCATTCTAATTTTGTATTTAGGGTTCAATTTTGTTGTATCAAGATGGACATGATTTAATTCTGTTGTTCTAGATAATGCTGTGTAGAGCTGTTTCTTGTCCATTTTCTCAACATCATAAATATTATATGGGGTGCTTATTGTTCCTCCCTGATATTTATACACTGTAACACAAAATGCTGGGATGAAAGATTCGCGGAATTCACTGTGACTGAATGTTGTGTCATTTAGTGTAAATATGAGATTGCCATCTTCAGATTCCCCAATATTGTCAATGTTATACTGCTCCATATTGAACATGTTTTTATTCCTTATATTCTGTGTCACTAACATTGGCATTCCGACCGCTACCTTATATTTCTTCCTATGTCCTTGATATTTGAAATCGATCTCATAATATTCCAAGTTTTCTGTAAATCTATTACAGCATTCTTGCGTGACATGCCTTGTTTTATTCAGATAGCATATATTATCGTAACTATCTTTTGGTGGTTGAAATTGGTGTTTGATAGTACCACTCTTGAGAAACTTGGTTAAGAGATCCCGTGTTTGTGGATCGTATCGAGCATATTCTTCTATATACTTCATTTCAACCCGTCGTGGGCACATCTCTGAGACTGGAATGGATGTGAAATAATCATAAAACATATCAGTTGGTTCTACTGGATCACATTGATTTGTATCACCAAACATGTAAATAGTGAGTCTGTATTTAGTGAACGCTTGATAGAGTTTAGTCATCTACTTATTAGGAGTCATGGAAAATTCGTCCACAAATATAGTCTTTCCTTCTAATGCTGTAATATCACGCCCATGATGATCACAAAAGAACAGATCAAATGTGTAACACTTCTTAGCTAACTCATAATTATTGTACACATCACATAATACCAATTTTACATTCTGGATAGCCTTATTAGTAAATGATAGGATTATGGGGTCATCAGCTGCTAGTGCCTTATGGCATAATCTGTATGTTTTACAACATCCGGCGCCGCTATAATGAATAGCACCCTCTCCCACATAATCAGTATAATTACCTGGATCAAAATTCTCCCTGTAATGTTTCTCGAAATATGTGGCCGGGCTATCAGTTTGGAATATTTGCCCAATACTATCTATTGTAAATTTGACATCTTTCTTGTTGGGGTATTGGTTTTTAGGATTAGTCATAAATACGCCATCAGTATTGATTGCATACACTTGACTGATTCCATTACCATCATTATCGTGACTCGCATTGTCATGTAACATGTTCAGACATTTCAATATGGACTGTGAGATAACAAAGCGGTTGATTGAAGTATTTTCAGAGAATATGCGCTCAATTTGACGCTCTCTGATTAGATATAATTCTTGTTTAGTGTTTGGATTCTAATAACTGTCAATTATAACATCGCGACTCTCAGCAAGAGCAGATGTCCAGATGCACTGTGCTGTATCAAGTGAACTACAAGTAAATCCATGGTCTTTTTGGCTATATTTCCTACCCAGTTCGCCGATGTAACTGTTTGCCAGTAATTTGGCCTGGGATTCTGGAAACATTGAAAAGATTGCTAACATGTAATTCTGGAATGTGTCTGGTGCTAATGTTTTACGTGCTTGGATATACCATTTGACATTAGAGATGGGCATCTTAAACTCTGTGATCAATGCAGGCACCAACGGTTCGCTATAAAAACCAGCCTCTATTTTGACCCTCTAGTCGTTTGTCGATAACATATTCATCGATATAGTATTCGCCTATCCTTAATACCCCATCAAAGGGCTTGATAATATCGTGAATTGTGTATAATGGTATTGGTGATTCATATCGATCATTATTGAAGAATAACATTTTGAGATATCTAATGACACCAGATTATCGGGTGCTGGGTCAGTTGAACACCATTGTAGTGTTCGAGGATAGAAATCATCAAGTACTTTCCGTGTTTTGGTGTCATATTGTGATTCGGGCAAATAGCCTCTCATGTGTTTGAATAATGATGATGCTAATGAAGTATATGACTGATTACACCATATGAAGTCATATGATTTGTATATTTTGTATAGCCGTTCAAAGATTAATTTACGAGTTTCATATTCGTTATTAAGAACGTACATGTTATTCTTGTGATCCATAAAGCCATCTCATCTGCCATTATTATCGTAATGTAAATACTCAACGAAGTAATTAGTCCTGATTATATATGCTTCAATAACGGGCTCGATTTTCATATCAGGTGGCAAGACTATTACATGGTTCTCGATTGTCAACAGTGTTGGTTTACCCTCTTCAGTGAGCTCATTATTTTCCAGTTCTTCGTACATAATGTAATTACTCGATTTATTAGACCATTTCATGTCTGTCATATAACGCCACAGATTATCAGCGCCACCCTGGTTGGCTTTTGTAGCAATCTGTTTGAGGCGGTCATCTTGAATAGGATACAGATGGTGATCTTTAATGTAGAATACGAGACTAATCACATGCCCTTGATGACCTTCATTACTTATGTGCTTCATAAATTTCCTCCATGTTGAATCATAAACGTGAATTGATACATTTGGATGACACGCTTTAGCCCAATCAATTAACTCTTGTGTTGACATCATTGGAAAACTGGCTGACCCATAAACTTCCATCTCATCATATAATTTTTGATACCTATATTTCTGGAATCCCTTCTTACCCTTGCAGTTATGCCAAACAAAATCCACCATACAAGTATTTTCTCCCCGTTGTTTAATCTGAAACTGCTTGTCTAAGAAGAATGTATTCAATTTAAGGGCGCCGGCTACATGATCTTTGAAGAACTGCTCATTATGTGTAGATATAGTAGCTCCAATTTCGGCTATAGTTTCCGTTGATAAGATTGTGAAGTTATTTTGGAGCAGTGTATACATTAAGAATTTGTACATATCAGGTTTACTCAATTTTGGAACTTCCATTTTGAATGGCCCATACGTCTTATCAGTTCTGTCACCAATTGTATGTTCAATAACAGTGTTTATTGTGATTTGTGCCCGTTCTCGTTTACCAGGCATCTGTTCTAGTTTTTCGTGAAACAAGTTTTGAAATGATGATTGTTTTTTATATTTCGATACTCTTGCACGCTTTAATTCCTCATCCCGCATATCTTGCAGCGAAACAGGAATTTTATCTAATCTAATAGTAGTAACTTGTGTATCGGACAGTTCCTCAAAGTACTTGATTCGGTCTTTAACTAATGCTCGTGCTGCCAGAGTTTTTAATGTTGGCAATCTAGTAGACTGTTTTGGTAGCACGGCTGGTCCTTTTATTGACTGTTCTAATTTTTCAGCCGCTAGCTGTGTAAGTGATTTAGGCTTGAAGACTGGTCCTGCCTGTTTGGCGCTCGCAGTCTGTTTAACCGGTCCTGTCTTATTGGCGCTCACGGTTTGTTTTCCCAAAAGCATATTTATTAATTCGTCCTTAGACATTTTCGATAGATCTTCCCTATTCATACTATTAGGGTAGATTATTTTATTACCTGACAAACGGGCATGTGACTCAACGTTTCTCATTTGCTCACTCATACTACTACTATATATTATATTATTTTTTTCATTTGAACGCACTATCTGCATACTAGTATGAGACGCTATCTTTTTAAGTCCAAAAAGTACATATATCAGCAAAATATATAAGAACTGTCCTAAACCGCCCAAAATCGGTCTCAAAAAAGCTGACATCAGCAAGAATCCCAATATCCAACTGAGTGTGAATTCCGGGCCTTACAGCCATCGTAGTAGACTTTTTTCCTTAGCAAAGCGATTGCAAGAGTAATATGCTGAACGGAGAGCGTGCTTTTATGTTAAACACATAATAGATTCTACATGAGCCAATCAGGGTTAAAAGAGCCCGGGCAAGTCTAGGCAAGCCTATTGTTTCTATTGTAGTAGCGTGACGCTTATTAGTAAACCTATCCACCAACGGGATTCCCTTTGGATTCCCTCGCAAAAAGTGAATTCCCTTAATTAATAGGCATATGGTCTAGTCTATGACGTCACCCATTGTTATAACCTAGAGAAAAAATGGATTTCCTGCATACTAATTAAGTGCCTAGTCAGTGTCTTCCTGCATACTAATTCGGTATAGGTTTACTAATAAGCGTCACTCTACTACAATAGGAACAATAGGCTTGCCTATACTTGCCCGGGCTCTTTTAACCCTGATTGGCTCATGTAGAATCTATTATGTGTTTAACATAAAAGCACGCTCTCCGTTCAGCATATTACTCTTGCAATCGCTTTGCTAAGGAAAAAAGTCTTACTATCACCAAGATTCTTTAAAACATTGCTCCAAACATGCAAGTAGAATCGAGCGCTTCACCTCCATTGACGATTGACGAAGTGAAAAAAGTCCAACGTCAACGGGTAGCTAGCCTTATCGGCCATGTGTTCCAACTGACTTATGCGGCTACGGTTGACAAACTCATTCAAGAAAAAAAAATGAATCGCTTCCACGGTTGTGCTATTCAACACCCAAGTTAAAACCAACATTCTTTCCTGATGATGGATAATGATGACGCATGGATGTATTACCATGATGAAGTGGTGGAACAAATGGACCTTAATGTTATCTTGAAAACGGCTGAAAGTGTGTGCAGTGCTCTTGGTTTCAAACTTGGCAAAACGTGGGAAGCGTACGTGACCGAATTACCAAAGCTGCCTTGGACTAGCATCTATCTCACTTCCTTGGAACTCGAAGATTATGGTGAGCTAGAAGATCGAATTCTGTATGCTATTTACTACGGACCTTGTGGACTGAAGTGCAAAGATCCCAGTGCTGTGAAAGTTGACAACCAAGATGAAGTGCAATGCCCTGAGAGAGTTGTGAGGAAAGATGAACAACCAATGGACCTTGACTTGATAATTAATGTCATTCAAAATAAGCTTTGTTTCTAAAAGTAGTAGAAATGGCTACGTGATCACTGTTATATGGGCCAAAGTTAAACTCACACCGTGGTACTCAAACGTATATTGATTTGTACTCAATTATTTACAGGTCAATAGCATATTTTTTTGTTTAACACACTAACTTTCGTTAAGTGTTAGTCTTTGTTTAAGTGTAAATGAACGTCATGTCGTCAAATTTGAGAATAATTATGCGGGTCACTTTTGGCGCAATTTTTACGACCTTGTGCCTCAAATCTCTGTACAAGGAAATGGTGTTCTATATCGCAAAGGTTTTCTGGGTATTTTCTGAGGGAAATATTTTCCTATCGTGGACTCGATAAAAGTGCGTCCATTTCTGAAAGTTATCTTTTGTTTAACGTGTCAAGCTATGAAAAGTAGTTATATCTTTCTATCCTAAATGACCGAATATATGGTAGGTTTTTATTAAATGGAATCTATTTAGCTGGAGATACACATCGAGCACCAAAGCCTACGAAACGAGTGAACGTTAAGATTATTCCTTTAACCCGCGTTGCTTGATTCTATTCTTTGGCTGTTAATAATTTCTTAGGGAAGGTAATATTAAATGTCTTACAAAACAAACAAACAAAATGTCTTTGCTGTTGGTATACAACACCGTACTGACCTTTTTGGTTTGTGTCGGTGGGAATGTATGCATCATACCCCAGTGCAACTGTAACCATCTAACCGACACCATCGACTGTTCAACCCTTGGTTTACATTCAGTGCTGTACTCATCCGATACCGACAACTCTACACAGTTATTACTACCACACAACCTCTTACAGCATTTTAACATATGTCTACTCATGGCGTATTTA